TCACATAGACCTACTCTTAACATAATTATGACATGTAACAGCTACCAAAATCAACAGTTTTGGCCTTATTGTAATAATGTTATGATATGAGCTAACATGGAAAATGAAGCAGCCAGGTAATTGGACATGAACAACATGATTTAGTACAGTTTGTCTTAAACCTTTGTGATACAAAATGGAGTGACCTAGCTTTATGCAACACAGAATTTTCTTTAAGTAATAACATGCAATAAATGTTCGTTCCAGAACACAATTTTTGAGTGGAATAAAATATACTTTCTTACTTAAAGTAAACAGAACAATAAAATTCATAATACTTGCTATTTCACAAGTTTAAATTGTTTTTGGAGAACTGGGGTATTGCTTACAATAACAAAGATATATCTTGACAAATTTGAAAACCAATATTTCTGGAATTATGAAATGTAGTATTTTATCATATGACAGATTTAACCCAAAGAATGTAAAAAAAAAAAAAAGTTGACATGAATACCAATGATCAGAAATACATGTAATCTTGTATATAAAAAATAATTAAAGTTTGAGATGTGAAAGAGGTAAAACACAAGTATCAACTGCAAATAAGGATAAATGATATGACAAAAAGACAACTTAATTATTTCAGAAGATATAATTTTTAATTATTAATTAGAAAATAATGTGATAAATCATGTAAATCCTATGAATCAAGATTTGGGTTGTACCCAAAGGTCAAAAGTTACAAATGCATTTTGATCTCAATGTCAGAGTTGCCGTTTGTTTCTCTCTTATCTAATGTGAGGGTTCCCTTAAACACTCAAACCGCTGGTAAAAAGTGTAAATCTATTTTCATGTGTTTCCTTAAATTATACGGAATTACAAATAAAGAATCCAAAAAAAACTGTTAATATTCCTTCAGATAAAAATACTATGCATTTGTTCATTCATCGATCCTTTTCAGATTAAAAAACTCCATAAAACCTATTGATGCAAGCGTCAAAAATCGGCTGCAAACCAATTTATCGGCCCTTTCAAGAAGAAATTAGAAAAGGAGTGAAAACGAGATAACAAATCAAGCACAAAAAATTCCATTAAAACTGAAATGCTTGATCTATTATTAAAATATCTGAAATTTATATGTGCAACATAAAAAAATTTGCATGCGGCATTAAAGGATTTTCTTCAATACATAATACAAGTACATCTGCGTCTCCAGACTTAGTTTGATACAGACGAATTGTGGTGGAAGTTTTTACAATTAAATATAAAACTAAAGTTAAACTTATATCTTTAACTAGAAATAGTTTTTACTTTAATAAAAGAAGCAATTGATAAGTGGGGTTTCTCGATCACTCTCCGCGGATGTTAACCCCCCAACTCCCTCTAGATCCGCCACTTCATTTCTTCTCGTTCTTGTTTTGGTGTGAGAATCAGTGGGAAAAGGCTCGGCATATTGTAAAACACGTTTTATCATCGTCTGTTGGAACAAAATCTCCTAATATTCTGTCTGATAAAAATAAACAGTATAAATCACATTCTTTGTTACATATTCCGTAGGAAATGTATTTACATACACGTCATTTTAAAAATATTAGACAAATCCTGTTTATTTAGAAAAAGTAGAACTGTTTGTTTATACTTGTATGTGACGCGATCTTTGTTTTAGACTATGCCTAACCTTGCGGTCGGTGTTACTAAGAGTCGATTCTCAAGGTAATGAAAACAATTCCACCGATAGATGGTGCTTGAGAAATCTTTCCTGTTTACATTCCATGGACAAGACAATCCCTATAACCGGAGGCTGTAGGACAGCCTCCGTCTAAAAATGAATACTTCTCCCAAATAAGCTATTTGAGTTTTGAAAAGAATGAGGAATATTTGGAAGAAATAAATGTAAACTTTAAAATTCTGCAAAATAACATGCGAATGGTTATTTAAAACCAAAAAAATCTCCGTAAGTAGCATAACCCCGTAAGGTAAGTTGTACACGGTGAATATGCTAAAAATAACATGTGGTCAGTGTGTTTCCATTATATTAGGAGATTGAGGACAGTGATAACTCAAGATCAGTGACCGCTACACAATGGATGTGCTGGGTGTTGTGGACATCAACGCCTGGATTTTACTTATTGTTTTTGCATTGATTGCTGTTTACATGTAAGTACAGTATAAGTTAATGCAATATTTTGCTAATATCAGATTAACCTGCACATTGAACCATCAGGCAACTGTTGCATAGTGCATAAAACAATGACCTGTGAATGAATCCACCTGTAAGATAATCTCTTATTCTTATTTTCCGTCATGATTGCATCTACAAGTATTTTGATTATTCATCTTATTTAATGCAGATGATTACCTGTCTGTATTTATCTGCACATATTGCGCTGTAGGCGGATCCAACTATGTCGTCTATCAGTTGATATGTAACGGCAAGGAAAAAGAAAATACGTACCTGACTGATGATTTGGGCACTGGGTGAAAAAAATGGTTTCCCGTCATGGGAAACTTTATGGAAACCACATGGAAACCTCAAGTTTACATCATGTTTCCCAGTGGTTTCCGTAGCGGATGCTAGGTTATTCCGCCAAGTTTCCGTTACACGGAAACCCCCTACGCTCCGATTCCATAAGGTATCCCGAACCACGGAAACCTCTGTAAACCTGAAGTTTCCCGAATATCCATGTAGTTTCCCGTAATGGGAAACCTCAAGATTCCACTGGTTTCCAGAATCAGGAAACTTGATGGAATCGGAGCGTAGGGGGTTTCCGTGGAATGGAAACTTGGTGGAATCTTTAGGTTTCCTTTCACGGGAAACTACATGGAAGCTCGGGAAACCTCACGATTCCTAAAGTTTCCGTGACTCAGGAAACCACATGGAATCGGAGCGTAGTGGTTTCCGTGGAATGGAAACTTGATGGAATCATAAGGTTTCCTATTACGGGAAACTACATGGAAGCTCGGGAAACCTCACGATTCCTAAAGTTTCCTTGACTCAGGAAACCACATGGAATCGGAGCGCAGTGGTTTCCGTGGAATGGAAACTTGATGGAATCTTAAGGTTTCCTATTACGTGAAACTACATGGAAGCTCGTGAAATCTTACGATTCCTAAAGTTTCCTGACTCAGGAAACGACATGGAACTTGTGTAGCAGTTTCTGTGTGGCGGAAACTTGGTGGAATTATCTGGAGTCCCATTTCTGGTTGAAATTACTGGGAAACTTCAAGATTTCCTAACTTTTCTGAAGGAAGTGATGTGAAATTATGTATATTCTTTTCAGTAAATCTATATAAAAAATTATTACATGTAAGAGAAAAAAGCATTACCATTTTATATGTTTAATAATTCATTTGATGTACAAAAACTGTAACAGTATTTTTCAATGATATCAAAATTCATATATCTTAGATAAACAATGGAACAGTCTTTCACGTTTAAGTCCATTCATAAGTGTCATTAAGTACTTCTTTCAACATCAGTTCCTTGGTATTTTCATCACATCACCTATGATCTGCAATATTCATAAAAAATTATCATATGATGTGTCAGAATTATTATGCTTGAATATAACTTAGAAATCTGAAAGATCAGTCAATGTTCTTTAATATACCAATATCAATAATTACTTTCCATGACCATGATACAAATGATTTCAGCATTTAATGTGTCTCTTTAAAATTTAATGCTTTATGATAAGGAAAAAAATATTACATAATATAAATAATGTTTTCAGCCTTATTATGTCATTGAGAATATATTACAATTTCATAGAACCCTGCTTTAAGTTGAATTAGTTTGAGAGAAAACATACTCTTTATAATAACAAAAATATTTTGGAGAAACTTTTTTTAAATTTTGATATTTGACCTAAAACATTGGTTGAAGATCATTGCAGACCCTCCACCCCATTGCATAAAAGCTAGATTACACCACGGGAGAAATACACTCTGGACTAAGACTTTGAATAAAGACATACAGTACATTTTGACACTGACCTTTGACCTAGAAAAGTAGTCCAAGGTTACTCTTCATCCTCTATCCACAGGCTCTCTGTAGTTTAAGTTTGAGAGAGAAATATGCTCAGAACAAGTGATATCAGATGGCGTGATGGGTAGACACACTGTCTAAGGGCATCCACAGAACAGGACTCTAAAAACAATGCAATATATATGTATTACAGTATAGATACACATGTACTTGTATGTTAATGATTTATCATATGCTGCATTGGACACATGTGCTTTTATCATGGTGTAAATATACATGTATCTTATGAGTAATTTTATGCCAGTATTGCATGTACACTTGGTTTATAAACAAGTAATTTAATTTTTTTTTACAAAAATTGACCAACATTATTTACATCCACTCATCATGTTCATGAATTGGCGGATCAAAATTCAGTCAGTTTTAGATCTATATGATATACCAAAGACAACTTTCACATTTACAAAAGTTATTCCCCTTTGCAGGGTCAATCTGAGGTCAACCGGCTTAAGACACTCCTCTATAACCGTACCAACTTTGAGGGTCAATATCTTAGAAATGAAATCTGTATGAACATGTTCATTATGATTTTCATGTTGCCCCATACTCTGGCCATACAGATACAGATCGTAGTTGATTGTCCAATATCGTTTGAAGATTGAAAATATTAACAAGTAACTTACAAAGGACAAATTGAGAAAAATGAGGGATACACCGACAATTGGAGACAACTCTTAGCAATGTGAAATTTGTCTATTGGTGATGACAATTCCTGTTTTAATGTCACTGAAAAATTTTCCTGTTTTAATGTCACTGAAAAATTAAGAGACATTAAAAATTTAAGCCCTATTGTCATGCATGCATGCTGTTTTTTTTTAAGTATTTTCAAACATACAACTTTTTACTATCATAAAATTTACCAAAATTTAATACTTCAAATAATTTCATTGAATACATGTATCTAAAAAATTGAGGAAACTCTAAAAACTTAGTGTCAGACTTACAGAAATTAATCTTTGGAGAAAAAAAATCTATCATATAAAGATGTGCATAATGAGCCTTTTTTATTCATTTAGAACATATCGTATGTGCATCATTTCCCCAAGAAATTTTCAAAGACAATGGACTATTTGTGAGCAGAAATCATTGCTGTTTACTTAATGCATTTGGAAAATTTATGAAAATAATCAATTAATTTCTTTATTTTTGATTTTAGATAATGCTAAAATTAATTTAATCTATTACAAATAATCCAACTGACTGTAAAATAAAATTTTTCTTAATCTCAATCTAAGGGCAGATCACTCTCACTGCATAAAACTACCCAATATTAAAGTAGAATTCTTTAGTGTGCAGTTTTTAGAGCTTCCTTAAAGTCATCAAAATACTGACCAGCAAGAAATCAGTTTATAACATTTCCTCTTTTTCATTCAATTTTTTTGAGAGATCTCAAAGTTTTTTCCTCTTCAATTCAGGTTTGAGATGACAAAGTTTTACTGTAGTGTATGTATTAGAGAACTGATTGTATGTCAATCACGACAATACACACATATAAAACTTCTTGTAGCTCAAAGCTGATAAACCACAGCTCAGTATTTAAAATTTAGAATAATTTTTTTTTTTCAGGGAATTGTCATACATAGTCATACCAATCATGATTTAATTACCACTTACCAAATGACCACATCCTGAATCATCATACATTTTATATGATTTTATCTCACTGGTTTTCTTTTTAAAGTCATGCAGTTTTCTTCTCTCTGAAATGATAAATTATGTTCAGGTACTATTTCATTCTAATTTAAACTAATTATGTAATAGCATTAGCAACAACCGGGATGGGAGAAAAAATAAGAACAAGATGCGCTTGTAAAACACTATGTGCCTGGCGGAACAAAGTTCGAAAAAGCAATTTTTTAAGCATATAGGTCACAGTCAAGATCACATAATCATTGTCCTTGTTGTCATGTGAAAGCACTTCATAACTGGAGTATGCATACTAAATATGATTTCACTATCTCATATAGTTCTAAAGTTATTGTGAAGGTTTAAGTTGACAACAGACAGACACAGATAAACAGTTATGGCAAAAGTTTGAAAAAGCTATTTGAACATATAGTTACAGTCAAAGTCACAAGGTCATTGACCTTGTTGCATTTCAAAGAACTTAATTATTGTAGTATGCATACCAAATATGAAGTCTCTATCTCTCACCGTTCAAAAGTCATGGCAATGGTTCAAGTTGAAAACAGACAGAAATAGCTCACCAGCAGAATACGATATTGTGCTCGACTCATTGTTTGCCTGCACCAGTTATGTAGAATGTGGCGTATGTTATAAACTTATAATTATATACAGATATAAGAACTTTGAAGCATGTTATTTTTTGCAATTTTGACTTTATGACAGCTAAGTCTGTTCAGTTAAACAATACCATGAGCATGTATGTAAGTAGTTTAATTGTGCTTGATTATATACTTATTTTCTTCTCAACTTAAAGCTGAACACAACTCATAAAGTAGGGCATACGCCATTTTCGATAGCATTATCTATGATACATCAATACTAGGGTATACTTGTTGCATTCGTTACATCTGACTGCTTTATTGTCACGAGTATCGGCATGGAATAGCGACCCGTGTTCGTGCTGGTTATCTTGAATTACCTTTTTTTTTTACATTTTATTGCAGATACGTTTATATGTGTTTTTTGTATATTGCACTGACTTATAAAACTATAATTGTAAACTTATTTGGTATCTTATTTTCCTACATTAGATGAAATATTACGTTATTATTCTCGCTACGGATTTCTGTATAGCATACGTCCGTCTTCACCGGTGTAGACTGATTACACTGAACAGTGACCAACTGCTGCCCTATTTATAGCAGTCTGCAGAGAAACTAGATTCGGGAACAACAATGGTGGACAGATTCCTTTTAAGAATCGTATTCAGCTTTAAAGTGTTCTGTATTTTATTACCAAGTTTGTTATAAGCATTTAAAAACATACTAGATCTATCAATATTAATTCACTACGAAGGCTTAATTTTCTTTTTTTACATCTTCATCTCAGCAGGTTAGACATTACAAAAAAATCTTTTGAGCAGTAAACTATTTCAATAAACAAACCTATTCTCTTCAGAGAAGTGGACAGGCCTTCACCTACATTCACTTTTTTATGTATATTTTCCCTCCATATCATCATCATGCATATGATTAAGGGTTATGCTACAGTATTGGCTACAATCTATTCCAACTGTTCTGATGATGATATCCTTCATGATAATCGGATAAGCTAAGATTGAAGACACTTTTTGTAAAAATATTGATGCTTTTATCAAGGTTTTGAACTAAAAGTATTTCATTCATACCTTGCCATAAGTCATAAGTTCCAAAAATCAAAAGAGTTGGCTATCCGAAAAGTCAGAAAACACATGTATTCAAACCGGATGTACTACAGTCTAAATTTATCTACAAAACCATGCTCGGTATAACTATTATCATCCGGATAATTTGAGCGGGGTTAAAAATATTTTTTTAAATCCGAAAAGTATTCATTTATATTTAGTGAGAGAACATACATATCGAGCATACATTTTAATAAACATGACGAAAGGTGAAACGTTGCCATTTTACATCACACATGCACGGTGCCCTGGGGCCTCCATAATCTATTTAAGTTATGTTGTATCTCTCTCTCTCTCTCTCTCTCTCTCTCTTGCAATATAAGCACTTAACAATTTAAAACTTATACATCCAACTTTTTAAAATGGCGTCAGAACAAAAGTTGCCTACGATCAGACGATAGTGAAGATTTGTTGTTGCCGAATATTACAATTATTTGCCGTAAAAAGTTAAAATAAATATACGTACATTAATCCTAGGTCGTTGGTCATTGCATTTATCACAGTTTTAAAGAAACTGGGTGGTGAAAACATCATTAACTTTTCACATTTACGAGCTGCTTACACCTTCTTCTTCGTCCTTCTCGATCCTCCAAAAATGGCGCCTCGGGAAATTGACCAATGAAATAAAGGTAGCTAAACACAGTTTCGTATAAAATCCAGGGGGTTTTTCCCAGAGAGAAGCATGCTGGGTAGGGATTTTCCTGCTATTTATAGGAGTCTAGATGAAAACTGCATCTTTTTTGTTTTTATTCGCATGAAGTAGAATCTTATCTTAATATTTAAAGAAAAAAATGTGCATTAATTTTAAGAAAAAAAAAATTGTGAGACTTTTTAATAGGGGGAGATAACTCCCAAAACATCCAGTTTTCACATGTGCAGAATTG